GATTTGCATTGTGTTGGAATGTTTGATTTTTAAAGTTGCTATTTGAGATACTGACTTGTTTCATTTTAAAAAATCATTCAATGGAGCCGGACAGTGGTGGTGCAGCCTCTAATCTCAGTACTTGGGAGGCAGAGGCAGGTGGATCTCTGAGTTCAAGGCCAGCCTGGTCTACAGAGTGAGTTCCAGGACAGCCAAAGCTACACAGAGAAACCCTGTCTTGAAAAACAAAAACAAAAACAAAACAACAACAACAACAACAAAACAGAAAAAAAACCATCAACCAACCAACCAAACAAAATCATTAAATGAATTTCGTCTTGGGATTGGAACAGAATTTCCAACAATCTGTGAAATAGCACTCAACATGACTTCAGTCATTCTGGAGTGTGTGTTCTTAACATGACTTCAGTCATTCTGGAGTGTGTGTTCTTAACATGACTTCAGTCATTCTGGAGTGTGTGTTCTTAACATGACTTCAGTCATCCTGGAGTGTGTGTTCTTAACATGACCTCAGGCATTCTGGACCATGTGCTTCTATGAGCAGCATCCTCAGCACTGACAACTACAAAATCAAAATACCCACCAACTTGGAAAAACACTGGAGACGTTCTGACATCCAGCAGACTAACATTTCAGCCAAGATTTCAAACATAAAAAAAAGATCCAGCTGATTAGCATGCAAATCCGATTTTCTCTTTAATAAGTGGGAAAATGTATATCAAAGAATTGTTTCAACATAAAAATTCTTTATGATTTCTTATCAGTTAGTGTTTTTATAAGCTTATACATCCAGGGGTATATAAAAATTTTCTGGTCCAAAAAGGGTGTTAAGTGAAAAAAAATATTTAAGAAGACCCATTCTACACAATTGTGATAAAAACCTAGAGCAACCTGTGACATTATCAATCTTACAAACAACGCTGACTGGAAAACAACCCACGATGCTCACTCTGATGTAAGCATGAGCCAGCTTCATCCTTCCTTTTCCTCCCTCTTCCCCCAAGGTCAGAAGAAGCTGTCCAACCTTAGCTTTGCTGAGGTCGCAGCTACATCCTGATGCCCCTAATTCTTGGGAGTTTCCCGAGAACTTTCCATATTAAAAGCTAAGGCAGTCTCTGGAGACCTGGAAAGAGCTGGGCACCCCAGCTTTCACTTCCCCTTGCCCTCCACGTGGTCCACTTCACCGGCACTAACCAGTGCGACACGGCAACACCAACACACCAGACTCAGCTGTGCGGATAGATGAAGAATTGCTGACCAATGGCAAGAAAGAAAAAGTCAAGAACAGAGAATGTGTTGACGATGTAGGCTGGCCCACATCAATCAACCACGGACTCCTTTAAGCTGCCAAGAACTCCAGAATAAAAAATAAGCTTATGTGCTAGTCTGTGGATCTCTTTGTGTTAATCTCATTGTTTTTCAATTGCTCTGTTCAGAGGAACCCTTCTGAAGGAACCAGAAGCATAAAAATCTCTGGGAGTACATTGAGAACGGGCTCCGATCCGGGCCTGTGAGATGGTCCAGTGAATAAAGGTGATAGCTGACCTGGGTTTGCTCCCTGAGACCCACATGGTAGAAGGAGGGAACAGCTCCAGCAAGTTATCCCCCAACCAGTGGAGATCAGAGACCTGAGAGGACAGTTAGCAGTCTGTGACTGAACAAGCCCTAGAAGGCAGTTTTGATACACAAAGGAAAAGTTTGAGAATCACTTGACTCACACACCCACAATCGTCTTCCCTGCTTGAGACTGACATTTAATGGGCGCTCCAAGAATTAAAATGTGCCTGGTTTTTATACTAAAGCTGCCACGTGAGGCAATTAAGGATTTCGTATCACACCACCAACAGTGAAGATCTCACATGGCATCAGGTTGACAACAGGGTAGTGTCCACGAGCATCGGTGCATGGTAATCCTCTCTGCTCCCCTGTCCGCTCACAAATTAATGCCAGCTAGGTAGCTTCTCCATGTCTGCAAAATTTCAGTTGGCTTTTTCTTCTTCCTCCTTCCCTTCATTCTGCTGTTTTTTCTCTCTTTTAATTCCCCTCTCCTCTCACCCCTTGTATGTTATGACATTTTCTGTGTGGTTCTCTTAATCACTAAGAGAAGACTAGAATCACAAAGAAGTAATGGGTCTGGGGGTAATAGAATAGTAGCAATAGTAGTAGTAATAATAGTAATAAAATAATAATAATAATAATAATAAAAACCGGAGGAAATAGCCCATTTGGTGCCCTAGGTAATATCTTGGAACTTTAAACAATAAATTAAAAAAAAAAAATAGGGCTGATAAGAGCCATGTTAGCATAGGTAAGGCCCTGGGTTCAGTCTCTAGCATGTTCCCCTGCCTCCACAAACAAACAACAAAAAACCTGAGAAAACTTAGATATATTTTATGAAGAAGGTAGGAGCCAAATCAGTTAACTTCCTATGTGTAAGACAAAATAGTGATTCCTAAAATCACTTTTTTCTAAGGATACCCTACACCTGTCATCAAAGAAACACAAAATAAAACAAAAGCATGGTATTTTAAAAAGCATGATCTGACGTCATACACCTATAATGCCAGCACTTAGAAGGCTGAGGCAGATGGATCGTTAATTTGAGGCCAGACTGGGCATGACCTTGGAAAAACTACATTCAGGATGATTCTACCTAAGTCAGGTTATAAACTTAATATTGTATAGGATGTGTGTGGAAAAATTTTAAAGACAAAATAGGAAACAGTTTTTTTAAAAGTTTTTTTTTTCTTTTTTTAAATATCAAGTAGTAGAGCACTTGCCTAGCACACACAATGGCCTGGATTCAGTCCCTAGAAATACACACACACACACACAGACACACACAGACACACACAGGGAAAAAGGTTTTAATGGTTAACTATACAGAGAGAATGTCTGGGAAGGATAGAAGCATGATTCTAAGGAATTGATATTCTTTTTCTTACTCTGGCATAAGTTAGAATACTCTTCACTTTATAATTTATTGTAAGTATATTGCAAAAATAGATACGTTTATATAACCACACATAAGTTACCAGGGTGAGAAAGCTCGCTGGTGTTCAAGTCTCCAAGCCCCAGGGTTATGGCATGCATCAGGTTAGATGAGATTAAAGAGAAGGAGAAATCTTTAGAAGGGAAACCTTCAACGTGAGGGAGGAAGGAAGGAACCCTGAGAACAGGCAGAATGAACTACGGTAAGGAAGAAACAGGGGACCTTAGGCCTGCGTCAGTTCACACTCTCACTTGGAAGGGGGCACCAGTCAAGCACCAGAGTTAATGCCCAAGCTTGGTAAGGAATGCAAAGTGTTTGAAAACACAGCGATAAATTTGGCGGGAGAAACACCACCTATAAAGCATGTCAACTACTAAATAACTTATCCCCAAGACAATAAAACTTAGAATTGTAAGTTTGACCCTCTTGACCCACTTATGGAATTGCTGTCCCCTCACCCCTCCGTGAAGAAAGGCCATACTAAAGATAAGAAAGCTGAAAACACCTATTTCTAAATGCAGAAACTACACACCATCATGTCTTGGCAAACTATTATCACAGAACCTAACTAGGCCCTGGCAGCCTTCAGACAGTATAGAACTAGTGAAAAGCTACAAAAATGCCTTGGGGTTAAAACCACACTGAGGAAATATTGAACATAGAGCTGGGTCATATCTAGTTTACATTCCAACACAATCTCCACAGTGCGGTCCTTTGTAAAGTGAAGCTTTGCTGACAGGTACCAGGAATCCAGAAGAGCCCACACTTTTTAAATCCATAAAGCAATGGAGGTACATCTTTGCGAACTTTTCCCGTGGTATTCTCTAATCATTTACTCAACAATTTCGTGTTATTTCACTTAATCACTGAACAAAACTACCAATGATTACCAGTTGGTATTCATGGTGACAGTCAAGTGTCTTTACTCTGAAGAAAAGGTGCAGTAACGGGCGTAGGAAGTTATTTTTAAGGTTCCAGGACTTCTACGGAGAGTATCCTGCTCTGACAAACTTTCTCCCCTGGGTATCCCATTTTCTGCCCTCCATTTGCACAGACCCAACTTTCTCCTGGTGGTCACAGGGAAAAGCTCCCCCATGTTTACCTTCTAAGGAGACTCCCACCTGGTGAGTGGAATCCACTTGGATCTTCCCAAATTCTTCACCTCTCTGCATCTGCCTCTAGGCTAATTCTTTCCTCCAGTTGCTGATAACTGTGGTTAACCAGCTGGAACCAAAGGCCCAATAATATCCTGCCCATTAGGTTAGATTGAAAAAAAAAAAAAAAAAAAACACCCCGGAAAAGGGGGAGGAGTGTGGATCTACATTTAATCTTAAACATTATCCGCCAAGCTACTTGATCCGTGCAGCTTTTGTGTGCCCCAAAACAAGATCATAACTATAGGCCCCAAATGATCCCCAGTCCAACTACATTGGGCACTACCACGGCGAGGGTAGTTTCAACGAATTACTCTCAAGCAGAAAAACTCGTGCGTGGGGGAGGGAAGGAAGGCACCAGAGGTCCGAAGTTCACCCGCTGCTGAAACAAGACTTGACTCAGTATGGGCACGTGGTCTGACCAGGTTGAGGTGGCGCAGGCGAAACCATAGGGAGGGGTCGTTGTCCACCGAGAGAGCCAGACGTAGGGAGTTCTCCATGGCCTCTGACTCACCCACAGATAAGTTATCACCCAGCCACAAGTTCCAAGCCAGCAGCCTTGGATTGAGTTTGCACGGAAATTTTGGAGTTTTCAGCTCCAAGGCCACTAGCAGGTAAAGAGAGCAATCTGAATTCTTTTCGGCTCAGCCCGAAACGGAGACTAAGGATGGCATGGCCACTGTCCCGCCCTCTCGCCTCCACGAGTTAAAGGTGTCAGTCCCCCCAGGCTGCAGCGAGAACTGCCGCCGCGCGCGCGCGGGGCAGGGCAGGGCGTGAGTGGCCACGGAGAGCCGGGTCCTCGGCGTCCCCCCACCCCGGTGTGGCCCTGGTCCCCTCGCCCCCTCGCGTCTCACCTGCAGCCGAGTGGCCCGGGAGCGCGCGGCCCCGGGCGCGGCGCGGTCCCCCAAGCTCCCGGCGCTCTCGCAGCTCTTCCTCCTCGTCCTCCCGCCGCCGGCCCTCAGCCATGGGCGAGGCGCCACCGCGCAGCCCGGGGACGGCGGGCGAGCTGCGGGCAGCCGGTGCCCCTCGCCAGCGCGCTCGGCGGGGAAGGACGGTTCCACCTGCAGCGCGCGGAGCTGGGGCGCGGGCCGGGCCGAGCTCCCCGCCTCCTGGGCACGCACCGGCGGCCTGCAGCTCCTCGGCTGGCTCTCTCCGCTCGCTTCCCGTCCTGTCCCCTTCTCCGCCCCACCGAGGTCCAGCCTGGGATCCGGGCGGGCTCCCGGCCGGCCTCGCCTCCTCGGGGAGGGGTTACGGGCTGCCGAGGCCGCCCTCCAGCAGCACAAGCTGGAAACACCCCCAGAACCCAAACAGACGTGCACAAAATAAATAAAGGGGATGGCGAGGAGAGAGAGACGAGGAGGCCTGGCCTCTTCCTGCCCTTTCACAATATCCCGGAGTCAACAGGAAACCCATTCGCTTGACACTTAAACAAAAGGGGGAGGAACCGGTTCCAGGGCGAGCTAGGAGAGATGCACCAGCTAGGAGAGGCTGAACTTCACTTGGGGCGCACCACCTAGAGTTGAGTCTAGACTCTGGGAGTTCTGTCTCTATCCGTGTCTGTCTGTCTATCTCTCTCTCTCTTCTTCCTCCCCTCTTCTCCCCCACCCCCCCCCGACCCCCACCCCCGGCCTTTTTGGGACATGTTGCTTAAGTTAGCCTCGAACTCCTGATCGTTCTGCCTCTGTCTGCCAAGTGGTGAGATTACAATAGTGTACCACCACGTCGGGCCCCTTTCCCCTTTTATCACCCTTTAAAATGTACCCCACTAGGGAACAGGATTTGGTTGTTTCCGGCAATGATACTCCTCTGTGATGCACGTCATCGTGGATTAGTCCAAAGCCATAGAGTGTGCAGCGGCAAGGATGAGCCTCCGTGTACACTATGGAGTGTGTGGGTGGTAAAGATGCGCCTTGCGTTTGAGTAAGTTTATCCGCTGGAACAAATGAACCACTCTAGGGAGGGAAGCGGGGGAAACTGAGGATGTGGGGGTCCGGAGAGCATGTGTGCTTTCACTTCTGTTTTACTGAGAACATAATACTGATCTAAACAATGAAGTCTGACTTCTTTTAAATACTAGGTAGGACTTGGGGTTGAAGTGGGAGTAGAACACTTCGCCAGCATGGGAGAGGCTTATCTCTGGCTCTGTAAATAAATAAATAAATAAATAAATAAACAAACAAATACACAAATACACAAATAAATGAATAAAGCCTCCCTGTATTCCAGCTAATAGAGGGTTAGGAAAAGGCCACAATCCCTAGAAGTCCAGGAAGAAAATGTGTTTAAGGCGTCCCACAGCCGATTATTTGTAGGGAGGTGATCTGGCCAAGTGCTGGGAGAAGTGGCTCTGAAGCCTGAGGCTGTAATTTGAAGCACTTAACGGTGGGGCCTACCCCCTGAACACTGCTCCAAAGCTGGAAAGAGCAATGTAACAAAAGTCATTATGTGCACCCTATAACACACATCTAAGGTTCATTGGGTGCACGTACGAAATTTCACACAGAGGGCAGATTCTGGAATGTCACAAAAAGATACCGAAACCCTTAGGAAAGGGCTGCGTGGGATGAACGGCGGGCCTTTATCTGCAGCCTCCTGCTCTCTTTCGGAGAGCTTGTGAGAGTGCCCGACGTTCAGCATGCTAGAAAAAGAAAGGGAGAGGGGGGGGGGGGTCACCGGAGGCAGAAGCGGCCGGCATTGTTGCTTTGCCTCTGCAGTGGTGACTGTTGCTGCCTGAGAAAAAGTATTTCTGTTTTTAGGCAGATAAGAACAAAATTCAATTTTCAGAAATTGAGGTCAGATCCACATGTTAAAGCGCTGCTACTGTGTGAGCAGTTAAATAAGTGGACTCTTGGATAGCTGAACACTAAGAAGGGGTGATAGAATCCCGAACACTCAGGATTGTCCTCCGTGTTTGGGCTCCCTTTAAGGAGAAGTGTATCTGTCTTTGGCTTTCAGGAAGGAGGAATAATTTGGAGGCCCCTCCCTGACGGCAGCATGGCTATCGGGGTCAGTCTAGTATTTCCAGACCTTTAGTTTGGGGGATCCCTGAAAATTTCCCTGTGTCTCCCATGCAATCAGAGTTGGGAGGTCCATACCCTCTTAGGGATGCATGCTTACACTCACACTTAGCAAACCTTATTTCTAACTATGTGCCAAGAACCACACAAATGATCCCTTGAAGAGACCAAAGAAGGAAAGACATGGATGGATGGTTACTGTCAGGAACTATTGCAGTCCTTTTCATATATATGTGTGTGTGTGTGTGTGTGTGTGTGTGTGTGTGTGTGTGTGTGTGTGTGCATTTGCCATTTTCAACAAACAAGAAACATTCCTTGTCCTCCAATAAAAGAAAGATGACTGTAGAGGGCCATCCTTGAACTTGCCGCCATTTGTCACCATTTCCATCAGAGCAGTGTGATCATACACAAGCAACCCTCAGACTGGGCCTCTTGGCATTCCCTCATAGAAAGAGGGGCAGGGTGGGTCATTAGATTCACCTGAGCTTCCCCGACGCTCATGCCTATACCACCCCCTCAGGGGTATGTAATTCTGCCACAGCCGCTTGTAGTCTTAGGAGGGTCTATCATATATAGGCAGCAGAAAATGAACAAAATGGGGAGAAGGGCTCCATCAATGCAGCCTTGGAGATGTTGTCACACACACACTGGAGTGAGATTATCTGGTGATGCAGTTGCTTGGGGGACACCTCTAAGTCACCACTTGCCCGTGGTCCTGCAAGTGAGTGCAATAAACTGATTGGCTCTTTAAGCTACACTTGGGTAGAACCATTCCCTTGGTCTGTCTTTGGTGTCTTGTCTGAGCTGAGGAGATGTCCATTCATGTCTCCCCAGGAAAAGTCCATGCAATAAAGACCAGCTGACCACAAAGCAGAGCAAAAGTTAGTAAGCTCCACAATAAAGATACAGCCACAGACAAGGGTGATGAGCTAATTCAATGGAGAAAAAAATTGTTTTTAATGACTGAATATCCCTGTATAAAAGAATAAATTTGACCCCCTACCTCATATCATCTACAAAAATTTACTCAACATGTATTATAACTCTATGTAAGATTTCCAGTATCAGGTATGATTTTCCTCTTGTTGAGAGGCCCTCGAGTCCAATTAGAACTGCTGATTACCACAAAGCTATGCATGCCACTATCGGAACCTTATGGTTATTGTGCCATGCTGGTCATCATTGTGGTTCACAGGTGTCATAGCTGGGCAGGACTACTGATTGCTTTCCTTCTTTGGAAGCTTGCACAGTGCCTTCTGGTACCATGAGAACTAGTCCTCATGTCCTCAGGTAGGAGGCTTTCAGGTCAGATCCAGCTCTGACCTGTGGGCTCATGGATTTCGGAGAACTGTCTGTCTTAGTTAGGGTTTCTACTGCTGCATCGAAACACCATGACCAAAAAGCAAGTTGGGGAGGAAAAGGTTTATTTGGTTTACACTTCCAGACCATAGTCTATCATTGGAGGAAGTCAGAGCAGGAACTCAAGCAGGGCTGGAACCTGGAGGCAGGAGCTGATGCAGAGGGCATGGTGAAGAACTGCTTACTGGCTTGCTTCCCATGCCTTGCTCAGCCCATCTTCTTACAGAACCCAGGACCAGCAGCCCAGGGATGGCACCACCTGTGCACACAGAGGTTTCCTAATGAGAACTTAGAATCGGAGCTTGCTTTACCCAGCAGGGTTGCATAGGGGAATGATTGGGCCATGGGCATGGTTACCAGGTGCTTTGGTCTAGCAAGGGGGAGGTCTTTTGCCCGCCCCTTGGCATTGTTATAAAAAGCCCTTTTGAAGAGACAGAAGGAGCTGGTGGATTTTGATGCGGGTCCTCCCAAAGCTGTCCTGTGTTTCTGTCTGTCTCCTCTCCGTTATCTTTCTATCTAAAAGTTTCTTATTCCTCTCTCCTCCTTATAGGAATGCTTTAAAAGGTGGGAGCTGACCTCCCACAACACCTTACAGCTGGATCTCACTGAAGCATTTTCTCAACTGAGTCTCTTTCCTCTGATGACTCTAGCTTATTTCAAGTTGACACACAAAGGCAGCCAGTACAACTGACCCCTTGTCAACTTGACACATAAACACTTCACTATTAAGCCTCAGCCCTTCCTTTCTTATTCATCCCCAAGATCTCACATTAAAATCATAAATAAGCCAGGCGGTGGTGGCGCACGCCTTTAATCCCAGCACTCGGGAGGCAGAGCCAGGCGGATCTCTGTGAGTTCGAGGCCAGCCTGGACTACCAAGTGAGTTCCAGGAAAGGCGCAAAGCTACACAGAGAAACCCTGTCTCGAAAAACCAAAAAAAAAAAAAAAAAAAAAAAATCATAAATAATTTTAAAATTCCCACAGTCTTTACAAATTCAAATACATTAGAATTTGAGTCTCTCTAAAATATACAATCTCTTTTAAAAGTTCAAGTGGGCTCCCTTAAAAATCAAAATTAAATACTTTCTTTAAAATGGAAGAACCAGGGCTCTGTCACAATCTGAACCAAACAAAACCAAACTCCAACAGTGTAAATAACTCCATGTCCATTTATCTGGGATTCACTCACAATCTTCTGAACTCCTCCAAAGGGCTGGGGTCACTTCTCCAGCCTGCCCTCTGTAGTACACACAACTTGTCTTCTAAGCTCCAGCTGGCTCCACTCCACTGCTGCTACTGTTCCTGGTGGTTTTCCCAAGGTACTGGCATCTCCAAAATGCTGGGGTCTTCTGCTGCACTTTCACCAATAACCTCTCATAGGCTCTCTTCATGGTGCCAAGCCTCAAGTTCTTTGCCTGATCCCTTCAGTCCTGAGCCGTCAGCTGCCACTGAGGCTGCACCTTCACCTGTGGCCTCTCCTGGCCTCTCACAGTGCCAAGCCTCAGCTACTCTCCGTGACCCCTTCATGTCTTCAAAACCAGAACCATCTGGGTGACGCTTACACATCACCAAGTCTGGCTGCCAACATGAAGTGTACCTCATGGTTGCAACCATGGACACCTCTGGAACCCAGCTTCTCTGTGTTCTCAGAAAACACTTCCCAGAAGATTTCACCTGTATGATGCTGCCCTCTTCTTAATCATCACTAATTTCTTAGCTCCAGCTAACCAGCACCAATTATCCCAGTAATGTAAAGGTTTCACTTTAGTAGTTCTGGTTTCTTGTTAATCACAGCTGATTCTTCCACCCCAGCTAATCAGAACCACAGAATCTTAAATCAGAATAGCAAATGGCCCTGATATAGTCTTTAAACTTCCCTCTGAAGTTCCACAAGCCCAGCCTCCATCTTCTGGACTGTTCTCAACATTCTTACCTTCCAAGCTCCCACAGAACATTCCACTGAGGTCTCAACCCTCAGTAGCTTTTCTAGTCCAAAGTTCCAAAGCCCT